TCACAGAGATATGGGGACATGTAGCTTCCAGGTCCACATCTCAGGGGAGATTGAGCAGGAAGGTGGTAAGAGTGGGTGGGGGGAGTAGCCCCAGGAATCTGCCACTTACATGTCAGGCTGGGAATCGTGAGGAAACACATGGACTCTGACAAACACTGCCATATGTCACATATGTCACAGCCCGCTGCCCAGTGTCCTGTCCACAGGAATAGCCACATCCTCTTTTAAAAATCAGGACCCTGAGCAGGGCACCGGTGGCTCACGCCTGTAATCCTAGCTACTCAGGAGGCTGAGATCTGAGGATCATGGTTCAAAGCCGGCCCAGGTAGGAAAGTCTGGGAGACTCTTATCTCCAATAAACCACCAGAAAACGGGAAGTGGTACTGAGGCTCAAGTGGTAGAGCATTCACCTTGAGCTGAAGAGCTCAAGTGCCCAGGCCCAGAGTTCAAACCCTACAACTGACCAAGATAAAAAAAAAAAAAAAAAAAATCAGGAACCTGGGGCCGGGGTGGAGCTCAGGGGAAGAGTACATGTTCTGCCAGCCAAGAGGTCCAGCACTAAAAAAGACCGTGCCCTGCAATCACAGCCTGAGGGGACCTGAGCAGCCCGGGTAGCCACACCCTGCTGCAGCCGCCATCTCCCCCTCCCCCCCCCCCAGGCAGCTGGGTAGTGGGGGGAGGGTGGTACCCACTTGAGCACACTCCCCCTCACCCATGCAAATGAGCTATTTTCCTGAAGGTCTGGGGCACTCTCCCTGGGAGCAGCGCCCTAAGAGAGGTCTCACATAGACTTTCGATGCAAGACTAAAGAAAGCTTCACGTGAGGAAACTTCCTGTGCATCATCTCATCAAGTTCTCCTAGCGATGGCCTGGAGGGAGCTCTGTATCTCCTGTATTTCACAGATGAGAAAGCTGAGACACCAGAGGTTCAGTTGCTTAACCGATGTCCCTGGCTAGGATGTAGCAAAGTGGAGACTGCAAATCCGGGACCAGAGTGCCAGCGGGGCGGGGTTCTGGTAGGGGCCATCTTCCCAGTTACAGAAGGCCACCTCCTCAGTGCGTCCTGACATTGGTGGAGAGGGGGCAGGACAACTCCTAGGTCCCTTTTATTTCTTTTTTTTTTTTGGGGGGGGGGGTCCGGTCATGGGTCCTGAACTCTGGGCCTGGGCGCTGTCCCTCAGCTCTTCAGCTCAAGGCTAGCGCTCTACCACTTGAGCCACAGCGCCACTTCTGGCTTTTTTCTTTTTGTTTATGTGGTGCTGAGGAGTCTAACTTAGGGCCTCAGGCATGCAAGGCAAGCGCTCTACCACTGAGCCACCTTCCCAGCCCTAGGCCCCTTTTATTTCTATTTGCTTGTTTATGTCTGTTTGAGGGTTGGTTTAAAAAATTGTGGTTTTTGTGTGTGTTTGTTTAAGGGTTAGGGGGCATTTTTTACAGTCTCACTGGATCTCAGGCAATCTTCAAACTCACAGTCTTGTTGTTTCCACCTTTAGAGTGCTGAGATTACAGGTGTGCCTCATCAAACCCACTTTTGGGGTCTCTTTATGAGTGCTTTTCTTTGACTTCTTTTATTTATTTATTTATTTTTTGGTTGGTCGTGGGGCTGGAACTCTGGGCCTGGGCGCCGTCCCTCAGCTTTTCAGCTCAAGGTGAGTGCTTTACCACTTGAGCCAAAATACCACTTGCAGCTTTTTTGCTTATGTGGTGCTGAGGAATCAAACCCAGGACCTCATGCATGCAAGGCATTTATGAGTGCTTTCTACCTTCATGACCTTCTCATCTCCGGAAGACTCCACATCCTAGCACCTTGCAGTGGTGTTTATTTGAACATAAATTTTAGGGGAACACAAATGTTCAACCATAACTTCCTAGGTACTCATATTCATCTTCATTGTCACTGCCTCGCCTTATACTCATGAACACTCCCTCATTCCCACCTTCTGAGGCTCCTTCCCTTATCCCTTTACTCTTCAGAGATAGGGATCCCAACAGTCTAGGTACAGTGAGGCTATTGGTTTGACACTGGGGCAAACAGAGGGGATTGGAGACATCCATATGGAACCTAGGGAAAACAAGACAAAACAATTACATTTTATCTTATATAATTATGATAAGAAAAATGAAATACAGGCCAGGCATGGGTAGCTCACACCTGTAATCCAAGCTACTAAGGAGGCTAAGACTTGGATGGAGGATCGCTGTTAGTCCAAAGACAGCTCAGACAGAAAAGTCTTCAAGAGTTCATCTCCAATTAACCAGCAAAATGCTGGACAGGAGGCGTGGCTCAAGTGGTGGAGCACCAGCCTTGAGCAAGAAAGCTTAAAAGGGGGAAAAAAGAAATATAAAGTAGGAAAGATATTATACACTGGGCTATATAAAATATCCAAATGAAAACGTTAAAATGTCTCAAAATGAGAAACTTGTGGTTGTAATGCAACATATTGCTTTTGTTATTAAAAAAAAAATTTTTAAGCTGGGCACTGGTGGCTCATGCCTATCATCCTAGCTACTCAGGAGACTGAGATCTGAGTATTGCGGTTCAAAGCCAGCTCAGGCAGGAAAGTCCCTGAGACTCTTATCTCCAATTAACCTCCAGAAAACCAGAACTGGCACTGTGGCTCAAAGTGGTAGAGCACTAGCCTCCCACACAGGAAAGTCTATTGAAATTGAGAGTTTAAAAAAATCACTAAATTAAAGAAGTGCTAATAAAATAATTTTTTAAAAACACCAACTGGAAAAGTCACTCAATGGGGCTGGGAAGGTAGCTCAGTGGTAGAGCGCTTGCCTTGCATGCATGAGGCCCTGGGTTCGATTCCTCAGCACCACATAAGCAAAAAGAAAAAAGCCAGGAGTGGCGCTGTGGCTCAAGTGGTAGAGCGCTAGCCTTAGCTGAACAGCTGAGGGACAGCGCCCAGGCCCAGAGTTCAGGACCCACGACCGGACCCCCCCCCCCAAAAAAAAAAAGAAAAAAGAAAAGTCACTCAGTGGTAGAGCGCTTGCCTTGTATGCATGAGGCTGTGGGTTCGATTCCTCAGCACCACAGAATCAGAAAAAGCCGGAAGTGGTGCTGTGGCTCAAGTGGTAGAGCACTAGCCTTGGACTGAAGAGCCCAGACCCAGAGTTCCATAACTAACTAGCTATACATATATATATATATATATATAGAGAGAGAGAGAGAGAGACAGAGACAGAGACAGAGACAGAGACAGACAGAGACAGACAGAGACAGTCTCTATATGTGTGCCAGGCTCTGATCTCTGTCAGCCATGCTCATCTGCATTGTGGGAGACATAACCATTGCTTCCATTGCTGACTCTCCTTCATACAGTTCCCCACCTGTGGATATCCCCCAGAGGAACCCCTCACAAGGGTCTCCTGGGGACCACCAGCCTAGGGGCTCCAGTTAACCCCGGACCAGTCTGAATGCTGAGCGGGGCAATATTCTTCACCTGTATCCCACATGGACACGTTGATGTTTCCACCCCCTTCTCCACCACAGGCTCCACCTGTGAGAGCAGTTAAGCCCCTCTCCACTCACAAGCTGAGAGACCTCTAGCTGTAGAATGGGGATCCCAGTACCTTTTCCACAAGGTTGTATCCGGGTTACACATCATGCAAGGTGCTTAGCATAGAGCTAGTTCCAGAGAGAGGTGCAGACACAAAGGCCCCTATGTAGTATATACACTTACAGACCACGGCAAGCTCACACTTGGCCACAAACATAGGGACGCACAGATCTGAGGACCCTATGGACACGCCCTGTCTGGGTTTTGCCTCAGTTCCACCCCCACTCCCCTGCACCAGACAGGCGCCATCCCTTGGAGCCAGATCTGACCTGCCCTTCAGGGAGAGCTGCTCACTTCAAAGAGCTGCTCCCGCCCCTCCCCTTTGATGAGTGGATGGAGGGGCCTGGCCTGGGCCTGCAGACACTGCCAAGGCCCCACCCTTAGAGGTGGAAGGCATGAAATCCCACCTTGATCCCCCTTTACTGTTGTCCTTGAGGTTCGGGAGCTGAACCTAGAGTGTGCCTGCTAGGCAAGCACTCTACCACTAGCTACACTCTCAGTCCTAGTTTTGGTTTTATTGGGACAGGTTCTCAAAAACAAGTCAGGCTGGTCTCAAACTGACTAGCCCAGACTAGCCTCACACTCACAATCCTCCTGCTTCAGCCTCCCAAGTGCTGGAATTACAAATGTACACCACCACACCTGGCTCTCCACCCCTATATTTTTTAATCTGGAGAAGCAGAGTAAGAGATGAACCAGGAAAGTGTTGGTCATCTACAACTTATGGAAAAAAGACACAAACAATCAGGACACAAAAGACATCTTGCTGCATGATACTTACTGGTCACTGTCACTGCCCAGGCAACCTGACCGATCCAAGTCCTTAGACTCTAAGTCCAGGGCCTTTTTACCCTCTGAAATGCCCACATCTCCACTAACACAGCCCCCACCGGCCCCGCTGTATCTCACCATCGCCCATACCACCGCCATCATCACACAATCATCCCATTGGTATCTGAACCTTGGGGTCCCAACAGAGTGGAGGAATGACCCTCCCCCCCCTCCATGGAAGAGCAAAAAGAGAAGACATGCTTCCCAATCATGGATTCTCCGATTATGGAGCCACTGGAGACAGCATTTCCCTAGCCCAAGTCTGCCCTCTTCCCCTCCCTTCTGTACCCATAGATCACCGGTCCCCATCAGGTGTGGCCTGTGGCTTCCGAGGGCAGGAAGCAGCAGCTGGACGGTGGGGGGGGGGGGGGCCACAGTCCTGGCTGTACCCACAGGATTGGCCGCAGTGTGCCCTCTCAGCCAGCACCTGGCTAGAAGGTTCTTCAAAGCAACACTGACCTCGGCTAGTTTCCTGAGTGCTGCTGGCCCAGTCAGGAGGACAGAATCATGAGGCGGATGCCCAGTGGGCAGGGTAGGCCGCAAGAGCCATCTGGGAGGTAGCCGTGAGGCGGGAAGAGGCCACAGACTCCCGTGGGAGACACGATGGACAAATTCCGGATGATCTTCCAGTTCCTGCAATCTAACCAGGAGTCCTTCATGAATGGTATCTGCGGCATCATGGCACTGGCCAGCGCCCAGATGTACTCGGCCTTCGATTTCAACTGCCCCTGCCTGCCAGGCTACAACGCAGCCTACAGTGCTGGCATTCTGCTGGCGCCTCCCCTGGTACTCTTCCTGCTGGGCCTGGTCATGAACAACAACGTGTCCATGTTGGCCGAGGAGTGGAAACGACCCCCAGGCCGCCGGGCCAAGGACCCCGCCGTGCTTCGCTACATGTTCTGTTCCATGGCGCAGCGCGCCCTCATCGCCCCTGTCGTGTGGGTCGCTGTCACGCTGCTGGATGGCAAGTGCTTCCTCTGCGCCTTCTGCACGGCCGTGCCCGTGGCCACCCTGGGTAACGGCAGCCTGGCACCCAGCCTCCCTGCCCCTGAGCTCACCCGCCTGCTGGCACGGGTGCCCTGCCCTGAGATCTATGACGGGGACTGGCTGCTGGCCCGGGAAGTGGCCGTTCGCTACCTGCGCTGCATCTCCCAGGTGAGGGGCCCAGCCTCCTTCCAGACCAGGGTCCATCAGGGAAGGCCCTGACCCCCTCCTTCCTCACCTCTCAAAATGGGGCTTCCCTTCTGCAGAAGCATGGGTGGGCATGTTTTCCTGATTGCAACTGGGTCCCCCGGGAGGAAACGCTGTGACTCCTGCAGCCCAGAGGGCCTGACCTCTGCTGACCCCACTTCCTCCACCCCGAGCTCTGAGCATGGAAGCTGGGGAAATTTGCATTCTTTTTCCTCTCCGAGGCCCAGGCCAGTGGTGAGGCTGGTGGATGGTGAGGCCATTTGGCTACATTTCCCTGGCAAATACCCGCCAGTGGGTGGCTCCCTGCTAGGGGAGTGGGAGCAGGGGGTCTGGAGGTCTTGAAAAGGGGGTGTGTGATATGGGAGAAGTACTTGAGTTGTGACTTAAAGGAAACCCTGGGCATTGTGGGCCAGCCACTGGACCAGGTACTGTGGGGAGGGATTCTGTTCTGGCTAGCTAGTGTAGATTCCCCTCTACACACACACACACACACACACACACACACACACACACACACACACACACACACACACACACACACACACACACACACACACACACAGAACGCCTGTGTCCTGTGTTTCTTTCCCTATGATCCTCCAAGCCAAGATCTGCTTTCCTCCCAGACCTGCACCTCCTTTCCTGTGGGCTCTTGTGCCATTCATTGGCTCAGATCTCAGGGACTTGGGAAACTGTCCCTTCACCTGACTATTGGAGATTAAAAGGATACCCCCCCCCAAAAAAGGCTACAGGCAACTTGACATATAGATATATTTCATTTGACCTGCAAATACTGAATTCTGAAGTCAGAATGAATTGGCTTCATCTAAAACCAGAAATCTGCTGGGTGCCAGTGGCTCATGTCTGTAATCCTAGCTACTCAGGAGGCTAAATCTGAGGGTCAAGATTTGAGGCTAGGAGGGAGGGGGGAGGCTGGGAAGGGATGTGAAGGGTAAACAAAGGAGGAGGCTGCAATGCTTGGTAAGAAATGTACGCATTATCCTGCCCATGTAACTGTAACTCCTCTGTACAGTATGTTCACAAATAAAATTAAATTAAGTTAAAAAAAAAAAAAAAAGATTTGAGGCTAGCCTGGACAGAAAAGTTCATGAGGCTCAATCTCCATTTAATTAGTAATAAAAGAAAACAAGTGAAAACAAAACATAGAAAAACCTGGAAGTAGTATCTTGCCAGCTGTGATCTAAAAGAGTTCCACAAGAATGCCCTGAGTTCAAGCTCTTACAATGGTGCAAAACAAAAACAAAAACAAAACAACAAAAATCAGAAATCTTGGGGCTAAGCCGGGCGCTGGTGGCTCACGCCTGTAATCCTAGCTACTCAGGAGGCTGAGATCTGAGGATCACGGTTCAAAGCCAGCCCGGGCAGGAGAGACCGTGAGACTCCTATCTCCAATAAACCACCAGAAAACCGGAAGTGGCGCTGTAGCTCAAGTGGTAGAGCGCTCGCCTTGAGCTGAAGAGCTGAGGGACAGCGCCCAGGCCCAGAGTTCAAGCCCCACGACCAACCAAAAAAAAAAAAAAAAAAGAAATCTTGGGGCTAGAAGCCCTTGTGTTTTGAGCTTCACTCACATGATCCCATTCCTGAGAGGTAGAACCTAAGATTCCCATCTTACAGATGAGGAAACCAAGGGGAGCTCACTTCTAGTTTCTATTCTCCACCCTAAAGACCCTGGAGAGGGTTTGGAGGATCTGGACAGACTCGAGTCAGGGGCCTGTGTCTGCTGACGTGTTCCTCTCCCTGCAGGCACTGGGTTGGTCCTTTGTGCTGCTGACCACGCTGCTGGCATTCGTAGTGCGCTCAGTGCGGCCCTGCTTCACACAGGCTGCCTTCCTCAAGAGCAAGTATTGGTCTCACTATATTGACATCGAACGCAAGCTCTTTGATGAGACATGCACAGAACACGCCAAGGCCTTCGCTAAAATCTGCATCCAGCAGTTCTTTGAGGCTGTGAACCACGACCTGGAGCTGGGTCATGCCCATGGGGCACTGGCTACAGCTACCACCCATTCAGCCGTGCATAGCCCTTCTGATGGTGCTGAGGAGGAGAGAGAAAAGCTGCGTGGCATCACTGATCAGGGCACCATGAACAGGCTGCTCACGAGCTGGCACAAATGCAAACCACCTCTGCGGCTGGGCCAGGAGGAGCCACTGACGGGCAATGGCTGGGCTGGGGGTAGGCCCCAGCCTCCACGCAAGGAAGTGGCCACCTATATCAGCAAAGTGTGAGCTATGGTAGCCAACAGCCCTGTGCCCCTCAAACAAGACAGAAAGATGAAGGATTTAGGTGCAGGGGCAGAGGTGCAGGTCTGTGTACTCACCTGCCTGTGGGAAAGGGAATTTGGTGCTGATTCTTCTTCCTCCATCAGGTACACTGTCCTGGGCAACTGGCCCACAAACAGTATTAGTCAGAAGCATTCAGAAATGGCCTAGAGTACAGGGACAGAGGCCTTGAGTGTCACCTCCCAGGCCTTTCCTAGAGCTGGTACTGTCTCCCCTGGCTGATTGTCCCGTTTCAGGCCTTATAGGCTGGCCTGCCCAGTTCTAGCCCAGGCTGTTTGAGAATCTCTCTTCTCTCATTGGAAGAGAAAGTGCCAGGCACAGAGTCTGAGTCCTAGTCTTGGACCAAAAAGAAAAGGAAAGAAAAGAAAAGAGCCTCATCCAGGGACCAGGAGGGCATGCAAGCCTCTCATCATTTTGGAAGCAGCGGGAGCCAAAGTGGGCCATAAGACTATAACTGAAGGCTTCAGCTGGGGTGACACAGCTGAGGGACAGGTAATACGACAATACTGTATTCCAAGAGCTAGGTGCAAGTGAAAGAAGCCCGGCGTGCGATCACGGAGGCTACATAATTGTCCAGGTAGGCTTCGTGTTTGCTCAGTAGATGCAGAGGGCCTTCCATAGAGACCCACTGGTCATCCTTGCACCCACATCCCAAGGAGAAGTTAAACTATCCCCAGGGCCTGAAAAGTTAGAAACTGAAGCTGATGCCTCCCGATTTTCTCAAAGACTCCAGCTTCAGGGGAGGAGACTCTATCTGCTAAGGAGATGTGTAGGGAGGAGGTGCAATGGGCGTTAGCTAGGATGGAAATAAGCATAGTGGACCAATCTGGGCCAAATGCTGATTCTGCCACTTACCAAGTGTCCCTGAGCCAGGTGCTTCATTCTTCAGGGCCTCAGTTTCCTACTCTGCACAGTGGAGATGAGGGCCCCTGCCTCACAGGGTTGCTGTATGTGAAAACGCACATGTTACACGGTAGGCAGGCAGGACAGAGAGACTAATGGTCATTCCTGGTTGTGAGGGCCTCTCTCTTCCCCTGGGGAAGGGACCAGGGACATAAGGAACAGCAACACTAAAAACAGAAGACCTGATGGGTTTCTCACCCTACCCATCATATCTTTCAGCGCTAAGCCCCACCCCTCTGAACTAACTTTGGTCTTGGTCATGATTTTTGAGATTTCCATCCTCCTTCATTTCACTCTCCCTCTACTTCTACTTTTGAAACCCATTGCCCCTCTCTCGTATATGGGAGGAAGGCAGATACCTGCAGAGCTGGGAGAGCCCTGGAGGCAGTCAGTCTGGATCTGGTTCCCAAATGAAGAGGATTACAGTCCAGGGCAGAGAACCAAGGAGTCTAGAGGTATTGGGAGGGGCAAATGTGAAGCAAAGAGCAGAGCTTTGTTGTGCAAGCAGGGGTTCAAATCCCAGAGTATTGAGACCATGGCAAGTCACCTGATTTCTCTGAGCCTCCACAGTCTGTGAAGTGCTCCTTAAAAGACCTGCTTCTCAGATTGCTGTGAAGATAAAGGGAAATGGCTCCAGGGAAAGGCTTGGGACTGTGTTTTGGTGTTTGGTAGGGTCAAAAATACACAAAGCAACAAACCAACACTGGTCCCTTTCCATTTGTTCTTACCCGTGAAAAAGCCCAGCTCAGGGAGAACAACTTGTCACCCAACAGTTTCACCACCTGGAAGCCACAGCCTTGCACGGCTGATGGGGGGCCTGGAACCATGTCCCCCAGTCCTAGGGGCTATCTTAGGACTCACCTCTTTGGTACTTCTTTTGTTTGTTTGTTTTTGGGTCGGGTCATGGGCCTGAACTCTGGGCCTGGGCGCTGTCCTTCAGCTCTTCAGCTCAAAGCTAGCACTCTACTACTTGAGTCACAGCGCCACTTCCGGCTTTTTTCATTTTGCTTATGTGGTGCTGGGGAATCGAACCCAGGGCCTCAGGCATGCAAGGCAAGCACTCTACCACTGAGCCATCTTCCCAGCCCCAGCTCTTTGGTACTTCTGACTCATGACTTCAACCTGGGCTTGCACACTTCCACACTTGTGGAGCTCACAACCACTTCTGGGGACAGGCTGGGCACTAAACTGCCTCCTGGCAATTGCAACCAGGAGTGGGCTCTGCTGGCAGGTCCTCTGAGTGTTAGGCCTAGACTCCTGGATTCAATGCCAGCTGTGCAGGGAAAGGGGGAGTTAGGTGAACGGTGGACGGAAAAGCTGCACAGGAATGGATTGTTCACAGTGGCAAGATGCTCAGAGGAAGAGGAGCTCTGGGGTACTTCTGCCGGGTAGGGACAAGAAAGGGTGGGGGGCTCTTGAAATTGGCATGGAGCAAGCTGCTCAGTAGAGCTCAGCACCGTAGTGTGGACGCAGGGGGAAGGGTGGAGGGCCGGCCCCAAGCTGGCCCAGCTGCGGGCTGGGACAGGACGTGGTAGCTTGTAGCTGCTAACAAGCTCTTCCACTTCCTCTCCCCTTGCGCCTCCCTCCTCCCCCAGCCTGAGGCTGTTTTTCCATTCGCTGGCACGAATGTTCCATCCCACAGTTTCCTTTTCTCTTTTCGGGAGTTAAATTTGTCTGTAGAAGCTTGAGATTTGTCAGTGCACCCCTTGGAGTTAAATTTGTTGGTAAATGCTGGTGGCTGGTTGCACTTGGGGGGCTGCTGCCTATTGTCTGCGCCTGCACCCCACACCCGCCCCCTCGGCAGCAGGGCCTGCCTGTGCCCAGGAGTCTCCCCAAGCCAGCGATGCCTTTTCTGAGAGTGTTGTTCCGAAGAGGCCAAGGCCACAAGTGCCTGCAGCCAGCCTAAGGTAAGCATCTTGGGAGCGCCAGGTGTCAGATGAACTGGCAAGGTTGGCCTTGGGGTGGGGTCCTCCACTTGGGACCGGGCCGGTTGCTCCCACTCCTTGTAGCTGCCTGTCTGCTGTCCTCACAGATGCTAGAAGAGGCCCCACGCTCACTGGGCATTGCTTGTGCCTGGCATAATTTTCTCAGGAGGTGGCCATCCTCTGTCCCTCACCCACCCTGGTCAGATAGATATCTTCTACCCCACTTTGAGTGGGTTTATGAACACAAGGCCCCCACAGAAAGCTAATGTAGATGCTAGAAAGCAAGAAGGGAAGGGAAGGGAAGAAGTGTCAGGTGAGGCCACCATTGGCTGGTCCATTTATTTCCAACAACAGAATGAGGTTTCGTTCCCATGATGTTAGACCAGAGCTCCTGGGCAGGGAAGAATAAGACTTCTCCTCCTGGCGCCCACATGACCACATGGCCCAGCACTGGGCCCATCTGGCAGCCTTGGCACAGGCAGGCAGAAGCGGGCGTGCAGAGATCAGGCATGAAAAGAACGGGCATAGGCCTCTCCCCTCCCCACTCGGTTAGCTCTACAGCCCTTCCCTCGGCCTGGGGAGATTTTGTTTTTCATCCTTGTGTTGGTGGGGACTCGGGCCACACCCTGTCTCTCAAGCTGTGTGGGTGGAGCCTGGGGAGTTGAGCCCAACTTTGCCAGAGCCGGAGCTGCAGAGCATGGCCACTTGCTGGTAGTTCGCCAGCATTGCTGCCGCCCTGACCTAGGCTGTGGCCTTCTGGAGGGCTGAAGGGCTTAAGTCTTAGCAAGGCAGGACAATTCTCAGGCCCTGGCTCTGTGGAGCAGGGCTGATAGGAGACAGCTGGATAGAGAAATTTAGCTCAGACTTAACCATCTGTCCCTTTCCTGTCTCCCTTAGATGGTGGGCAGAGGTCCTGCCCAGGTGCCTCCATATTTGTCTGGCCTTGGACACTTTCTCCTCTTTAGAACTTCCATCCTGATCTTCGCAGCCAGAATTCTCTGTATTCTGAAGGTCTGATAGGGTGAGGACAATGCAGGGTTTCACAATTATCAGGCATCATTTATTTTTTCCCTCCAACATTCCAGAGAGTAGGGCTCAGAATGATTCATGTTCTTCACAGAGGAGGATGGAAGCCAAGCGGAAAGACATGATGTTGAGAACCCCTGAGGTCCAAGTGAAAAGCTCTTATGCTCCCAGGGCTGCTGGGGCCTCGCTGAGTCAGGCTCACCACAACTCGAGACCCCATTCCTTTCCCACTCCCCATTCCAGCCTCCACCCCTTTATTCACCAGGACAGCCACTCCAGCTCCATTCCTATGACACGCCAACCAAACGGTCTCAGACTCTTCAGCACATGACCACCACGTGGCCTCCCAGAGGGAGAACATCTTATATCCCCAGCACTCAGGGCCATCCTCAACCTATCCTGAGAGAAGGCTCAAATCTCAGCTCTGCCACTTAACATGTGACCTGACCAGTAGTTCACCCTGGGCAAGCTTTCACCTTCTCTGTATGCAAGGATATAATAGCTCAATGAGGGACTGTGGGGTGGGCAACAAGAGCTTCTGGCACACAGCAGGAACCTAGGGATGGTGACTAGCAGTTTTCTAGGGCCCAGGGCTTCTTTATTCACCAGCCGGGGCCACAGCAGCATCCTCTCAATCCCATGATCAGAGGCAAATGTTTATCAGTCATCTGTGTTCTGCAGGAAGCACCAGGCCGGCCGCTGTGGGCGATGAAATGGCACGATCGTGCCTTGCCTTGGGGTGTCTTCCAGCCTGCGCTCCTTTGTAGTCTCAGCAGGAGCCATCAGCCCTGCCCCCTCCTGCCTCCTCTCCTCCACTCAGTCCTTACCTAGCCCACCTGTCACTATGGCAGCCCTGATTGCAGAGAACTTCCGCTTCCTGTCACTCTTTTTCAAGAGCAAAGATGTGATGATTTTCAACGGGCTTGTAGCTCTGGGCACTGTGGGCAGCCAGGAACTGTTCTCCGTGGTGGCCTTCCACTGCCCCTGCTCGCCAGCCCGGAACTACCTTTATGGGCTGACGGCCATTGGAGTACCTGCCTTGGCACTCTTTCTCATCGGTGTCATCCTCAACAATCATACTTGGAACCTAGTTGCCGAGTGCCAGTATCGGAGGGCCAAGAACTGCTCAGCTGCCCCCAACTTCCTCCTCCTAAGCTCCATCCTGGGCCGTGCAGCTGTGGCCCCAGTGACTTGGTCCGTCATCTCCCTGCTACGCGGAGAGGCCTACGTCTGTGCTCTCAGCGAGTTTGTGGACCCGTCCTCACTCACAGCTGGGGAAGAGAGCTTCCCACCAGGCCACGCTACTGAGATCTTGGCCAGGTTCCCCTGTGGAGAGGGCCCTGACAATTTATCAGGGTTCCGGGAGGAGGTCAGCCGCAGGCTCAAGTACGAATCCCAGGTAAGGAACTAAGTAGATGGTAGTTGGTGGGGAGGTGCGGGGTCCCCAGTTATAAACCACTGGACAGTCATCAGGCATAACGGCAGGTTCACGTATAGGCTAGTGTTTGATGAAGATAATTGCTCGTCCCACAGATGAGGTTGTTTTGACATTGGGAATGAACCCAAGGCCTCTTGCATGTTAAGCATGCATTCTACCACTGAGCTCTAACCCTATCCCTAAGATAAACATTATGGGAGCATTCTGTCTTGACTATCACGTTAGCCCTTTGCCTTAGTTCAATGGCTTGAGCTCCTGCAGGTTACCTCAGAAGCATTTGCTGAGGGCCATGAGTTGACAGATAGCTCCAGGGATGGGCCCACATTCCTGTCCCAGGAAGAGCCTGGACCCAACACTGAGGCAGCCTGAGGGAAGCCCCTGGGAGTCCAAGAAGAAGCAGTCACTGCCTAAGTCTGCCAGCCGTTGTAGCCTATTGGAATGGAACAGACAAGAGAATGGGTAGAGCTGGATGTGTTAAAGAAACAGAGGTTGGGCTGGGAAGGTGGCTCAGTGGTTAAAGCGCTTGCCTTGCATGCCTGAGGCCCTGGGTTCGATTCCTCAGCACCACATAAGCAAAAAGAAAAAAGCCGGAAGTGGCGCTGTGGCTCAAGTGGTAGAGCGCTAGCCTTGAGCTGACGAGCTGAGGGACAGTGCCCGGGCCCAGAGTTCAGGCCCCATGACCGGACCCAAAAAAAAAAAAAAAAAAAGAAACAGGTTGAGGGCTGGGAATGTGGCTTAGTGGTAAAGTGCCTGCCTATCATACATGAAGCCCTGGGTTCCACATACACAGAAAAAGCCAGAAGTAGTGCTGTGGCTTACATGGTAGAGTGCTAGCCTTGAGCAAAAGAAACTCAGGGACAGTGCCCAGGCCCTGAGTTCAGCCCCAGGACTGGCAAAAACAAACAAAAAACCACAGAGGTTGAAGAGGGAGACAGGAAGGAAGCAACACACAATTCTCTAAAAGGTCTTTTCTCTTGGCAACACCAGAAATCAAAGTAAAAAGATCAACAGGGCTGAAGATACTGCCAGAGACAGAAGATGGTAAACCTGAAAAGTGCTGAGTAAACGTCTACAGATCTCTTTAGGAATACATGGCAGTTACTCTCCTTGGCCCTTGTCCTCAACAGGCTTCCATACAAGCATTTCAGATAAACCTATGGGTCAACTTAAATAAGGCAGATAAAGATGTGAGGAAAATACCAGCATAAAGGACTCAGAGGCAAGAGTGCTTCCAGAGGGGTCTTTAAAGGCATCCTGGGGGTGGCATCTCCTGGTGGTGGTGGTGGTGTGTGTGTGTGTGTGTGTGCGTGTGTACACACGTGGGTATCCAGGGCTGGGGGTCAAACCCAGGGCCTCCTCACAGGAACATGCTCTACATCCAAGCTACACCTGAGCCTAAGCCGAGGTATGACGAGGGGTAGGGGGGGCACCCTTGGGATTGAGTAGTAGTTATAGAAAATGTATAAGAGGTAGTTGGATGTGGGGGTCTCAAGTGTGGAAGCACATGGCTGAATAGGTGTGTCCCTATCACCCCAGAAACACAAAGCACAAATAGGATCCCAGACCAGGCTATCCTTGGCATAAAGTGAGACTGTTTCGTAAATCACCAACTTAAAAAGGGGATGGCAAATGTCAAGTGGTAGAGTGCCTGCTCAGCAAGTGCAAGGCCCTGAGTTCAAATTCCAGTACCACCAAATGACAAAATAAAACCCAGAGGAGTCAAGTCTTAAGAGTAGGGCATACGCTGGGCATTGGTAGCTCATGCCTGTAATCCCAGCTACTCAGGAGGCTGAGATCTGAGGATTGTGGATCAAAGCCAGCCTGGAGAAGGAAAGTCCATGAGACTCTTATCTCCAATAAGCCAGTCAGAAAACTGGAAGTGGTGCTGTGGTTCAAATGGTAGAGCTCCCACCCTAAGCTCAAGAGCTGATAGTGTTCAGGCCCAGAGTTCAAGCCCCACAACTGACAACAAAAGAGCCAGGCATGCGCTAAAAACGTACCACGTCGTTTCCCTCACAGCAGTAGGATCTGTTCCTCCTGCCACATCCCAGGGTGGTTGGGCTAAGTTAGCAGCTCCCTTCCCCTCCTGAACCTGCCTCTTCTCTGGCCAGCTCTTTGGGTGGCTGCTGATTGGTGTGGTGGCCATCCTGGTGTTCCTGACCAAGTGCCTCAAGCATTACTGTTCACCACTCAGCTACCGCCAGGAGGCCTACTGGGCACAGTACCGCACCAATGAGGACCAGCTGTTCCATCGCACAGCCGAGGTGCACTCGAAGGTGCTCGCCGCCAACAACGTGCGCCGCTTCTTTGGCTTTGTGGCACTTAATAAGGATGACGAGGAGCTGATCGCCAAATTCCCGGTGGAAGGCACACAGCCACGGCCGCAGTGGAATGCCATCACTGGTGTCTACCTGTACCGAGAGAACCAGGGCCTACCGCTCTACAGTCGCCTGCACAAGTGGGCCCAAGGTCTAGCAGGCAATGGTACCGCACCTGACAGCGTGGAGATGGCCCTGCTCACTTCCTAAGGGCCTGCTTGACCCCCTTTGCAAAAGGTTCTGTCCAAACAGAACCTCACTGCCTTACCCTCATGTTCTTGGCCATAGACCTTGGAGTGCATGGCCAGATGAAAGGAATCTTCAGACCTGAAGAACTCCCTCTCCTGTGGCCACTGGCCCACAGCTTTGAGGAAAGACTTCTAGTACAGAGAGGGTCTTTGGTGGGACTCCAAGCAGAGAAGACTCAGCCCACAGAGGCAGTGACAGTGGAAGTCACCAGTTTGTATAGAAATATGCACTGTGCAGTTAATTTGTGTCTAATTGCATAGAGGCAGCCCAGTGGTGCACGGCTGGGAAACTGCTCTCCACTGCTTACCTCTGGCCTAACTCTATATATTTAAATTTTTTGATAAAGCTTTTCTTTATAAAAGACTGGCTTAATGTCTATGCAACTGAATGGGCAGCACGGCTGTCATTCTGATAAGGCGCAAATCTTACACCCTGTGGGAACAAAGGGGCGGAACTAGGCTGGCCCACAGCATGGCAGCAGGGCAGGCAACATCAGGTGTCCTGAAGAGGAGAGTAAGGTTCTAGGGATGAGATGTTGGTAACTGTATTTGACGTGGCTGGTCACAGGGAGCCTGGCCTTTCTCAGAGTAGCTCAGTTGGAAATTCTGAGTCTGAGGATCTTGTAGTTGGAACTAACTTCCAAGAACCAGACAGGTGTGGTTCCTTATCTTCCTAGCCCCACCTAGCTATTTCCACCACCTCTAAACCTTTTGATGTTCTCCCTCATTTGTCCTGCGCCCTCAAGACTAAGCCATTTCCCATGGAAAAACTCAGGTCGTTTAAGGCTCCTCCAGAGAAAACTTAATTCCCTCAGGTCCAAGCCAAAAGAGAACTGGCTGTGACACCTCGGAGGGTCTACGCTGGCCTCCCAGAACCTTGGGATATACCAGCTTTGGAAGGTGAGGTCACCTGGCCAGAGATGACCTAGGATGAGACATCATGAGAAACAGACTTTCCTCAGTAACCTGTTTCCTAATTTTCACTTCTGGGCTTTGCCTCTGTCCTGACCCAGCTTCAAAGCTTCTGCAAAAGTGCAGAGGGCTAAGTGAACTGCGGTAATGCCAGACTCCCAGACTGTCCTGCTCCCTGAGCCCCACCAACACCTGGCTAGACTGCGGGCCAGCCAGGGACAAGGTGGGATCCTAACCGTGGGATTCACAGGAGTTGATTTTTTGTTCTTAGTCCTAAGGGAACATCCTGAAGGACATACACTTGTTTTTCTGGGAGCCCAACAGCGTATAACCATGGAGCAGTTCTAGAAAGGGAAAAGATTCCCACTGTTAAATAAACAAGCAAAGAGGAATTATTTAGTGGCAGAACACTGGTTTTCCATGAACCAGGCTCTGGGTTCAATATCTTTTTTTTTTTTGTCGGTTGTGGGGCTTGAACTCTGGGCCTGGGCGCTGTCCCTCAGCTCTTCAGCTCAAGGCGAGCGCTCTACCACTTGAGCTACAGCGCCACTTCCGGTTTTCTGGTGGTTTATTGGAGATAGGAGTCTCACGGTCTCTCCTGCCTGGGCTGGCTTTGAACCGCGATCCTCAGATCTCAGCCCCCTGAGTAGCTAGGATTACAGGCGTGAGCCACCAGCGCCCGGCTGGGTTCAATATCTTAAAATGGTAACATTATTTATTTATTTTTTTGTGGTAGTGATGTTTGAACTAAGAGGCCTGTACTTGCTAGACAGGCATTCTACCACTGAGATTTTTTTTTTTGTTGTTGGTTGTGGGGCCTGAATTCTGGGCCTGGGCGCTGTCCCTCAGCTCTTCAGCTCAAGGCTAGCACTCTACCACTTGAGCCACAGCACCATTTCCGGCTTTTTCTGCTTATGTGGTGCTGAGGAATCGAACCTGGGGCCTCATGCATATGCGGCAAGCGCTCTACCACTGAGTCACCTTCCTAGCTCTTGAGATTTTTTTAAATAAGAAAAATATAAACCACTTCAAATCCTTTTTCATTCAGACAGGATTATCCTGTTGTTGCTGCAGAAAAAGCAGCACTTAAGTCTTCAGGCAACAGTTGAGTGCCTAGATGTCTGGCTGGACACTGCTGATACTTCCATGAAGCCAGGCGCCACTAGTCCTCCAGCACTGAGCTCTTGGCCTCCACATATTCCAGGGCCTTCGCCTTGACTGCCTGCACATCCTTCTCGGTGCCATACTGCTTCTCATAGTCCAGGTAGCGCTTGAAAAAGAACTTCATTCTCTTGGGGGCCAGGCTCAGATGAATGACTCGCTGAAAAATGTCCCTGTAGAAAGAACAGCAAATGACGTGACATGCAGCTATGACCTTGACTGTGCTCAGCCACTTGCTCTCAGGCCCACTATCAGCCAGAGCCCCACTTCCATCTTCATCAATATGACCTCTGTGATACACCTGTCCCTCATTTTCTCAATGAGCAGATACTCGGATACCAAAGGACTAACTTGCCTAAAGTCGCATAGCTATCAAGGACCGTGATACAAGAACACACAATGATCTGTGACAGAAACAAAGGGTGAGGTACTTGAACTTCTAGGGCCTAGGTCCATCTACCTCCAGCCCTGCTCTGTGGGGATTCTGGGAACAAAAGTGAGACCCTGCCTGGGAAGCTTCTGCCTGAGAAGCAGGCACAATATGAATGAATAGTGAAGGAATCTGAAGTCTCCCAATTCCCAGGCCAGGGTCCAGGTGGCTTCCTGCCAGTGGGTTCAGACACTGGCCAAAGGTTGGCCTTTAGGGACTGGAATGAACATAGACCTGGAGGGTCATCCCAGAGCTGTTTTTTCAGGTTCTCTCCCACCCCACGCCCACTGGGATTCCGCCTAGTCTATGTTCCCCTCTTACCGGACTTCCTTCTGGCTGCCATGCTTGATGACCATGTCAATGTAGACTGACCAGACGTCTGTGCGCTTTGGGTAGGTGCTCAGCATGTTTTCAAAAATGGCTTTAGCCCGCTCTGCATCTCCCAGCTGGAACTCCAGCTGGGCAAACTTGGCAATCACATCCACATCTGCAGGGAGACGACAGCTCAGACACATGGTAAGCTGACAGTCCCCTCACCACAGAGCTAACAGGATACAGTGAGTCTCACTTCCTGCTCTTGGGCCAAGACCTATGTTATATAAGCCTCACACCCTACTCTCTAGATCTCTAAGAAGCAGGGGAGTCCCAGATGCAAAAGAATACATGCAAACTTGCTTTTAAATGAGAAGGCACCAATCCCTATGCCAGGCTATCAGAGGGCTTGTCTGTTCAGGAACTGGGAAGGAGACTCACGTTCCTTGGTGGGTAAGCACTCTAGGGCTCGCTGAAGCACACGGTGACTGGCCCCGGCCTGGTTTCTCCGCAGAACAAAGGCACCATACTTAATCCACACAACTTTGTCCTGCCGGAAACGCTTCAGCATCCGGTTATACAGATCACCAGCTTCCTATGGGAAAGACAAGGAGATAGTGGTAGAACAAAAGACAAACTGAGAAAATCGGTCAGGCATCAGAAATGTGATCCCTCCCCTTCGCCTTGTGAGTCGAATACAAACAAAAGGCAGTGTGAGATTCAAACAAACAAACAAAAAACAGACAAGCTGAAATGCTTGGAGAAACCAGATTGTGTTTGGTAAAACCAAGTCCCCACCCAGGCCTAATTCTAGAGGAAAGAGGAGGGGAGGAGGGGAGAGGAAGGAATGAAAAGGGAGGAAGGGTTAAAAAAAAAAAAAGAAAGAAAAGGGAGGAAGGGTACATAAGAGTAGGAAAGCCACTGATATCTGGGAACTGGGACTGTTACTTTTTTTCTTTTTTTGACAGTCCCGGGGCTTGGACTCTGGGCCTGGGTACTGTCCCTGAACTTCTTTTGCTCAAGGCTAGCACTTGACCACTTGAGCCACAGCACCACTTCCAGATTTTTCTGCTTATGTGATACTGAGGAACAAGCCCAGGCTTCATGCATGCTAGGCAAACAGTCTACCACTAAGCTACATTCCCAACCCTGGTGTCTTCTTATCTAGGGGTGGTATGTCTGCTACACTTCAAGTGCTGCACTCCCTAACTGCAAATCTGTCACCAAACAATGGGAGCTTCCCTACTAATCCTGCCTCATATGGAGATCCTGGACTAGAAACCAAAATGAGAATGAACGACAAGGAGACACTAGAAAGAGGAAAAGGACATGGAAGGCCTTATGCTACTTCTATCTATAATGTGGCCCAAGACATACACATAAGGGATTAATGTCCCTCTACTTCTGAAGCCATCGCTTCCCTCACCTCTACCTCACTTGCCCAAAAGAGAAAGTGCTTTCTCATTGGATGAGAAAGGCAGGGAGTGAGCCTGGGGTGGGACAGCACCCAGAATGTGGGGGTTCTCCCTGAGACTGACTGGACCTGAGATTCCCAGGATATCCTTTTAAGAAGCTGAGGGCTCTGGGCAGTCAGCCATTGGCCAAGCTTCCTACCTTGAACTTCTCAGACTTTGTGTAGATGTCAGCCAGATGGAGAAAGACCTTGAGAGGCTCATTGTATTGCACAGCCCGCTCGAAGACTTTGGTCAGGGACTCCTCAGAGCCATACATGTTTTCCAGGTTCAGCAGTGCCACCCACACATTCAGCTTCTCCTGTTCCTCTCTGGAGAAACAGTAGGCAGCACATGAGCTCCGCTGACTCAGTAAGCCCCACTTCCATCTGCAATGTTCAAGAACTACTCTTCCTCACTCCCCCACCTCTGCTCCCAGCTGGTTCAAATCATGATCCCCTAGGTCTCAGCCTCCTGAGTAACCAGGATTACAGGCATGAGCCACAGGTGTGAGCCACCAGTGCCTGGCTGCTCCCTTGGTCTCTCTCTACATTACTGGAAGGAAGTCTCCGGGATCTGAGTCTGGTTCTTTCCTCAAATGAATGCAATGAAAGAGGACTGCCTCTCCTCCACCCCCACCCCTTTCTCTGGGCTTCAGAAAAATGACCTGAACACCTGTAGGGTTCTGTCCTGAGTGAAGAGCTGTTGTCCCTATTCTACTGGTCTAAACTGGGAATCCTGTTGAAGTACAAAGACTCTAGGAAATACCATAACAGCAATTTCAGAGAAGAGGACAATAACATATTAATGCGTAACTGTTTCACACAGATGGTCACATCTAGGAGAGAAAGCCAAGGAGCCCAGGGACTGCTAGTGCAGCCATCCAGACTGCTGTTGGCCTGCCGAGGAGGAAATGACCCATGCTGGCCCACTCTGCTAGCCAGAGCTTGGGGAGATACACTATGATCTAAAGGCCCCTCCCCAGGATGGGGAAGTCAAAGTCTGGACCTGAAGGAGATGGTCTTCAGGGCCCTCTCAGCCACGGCCCGGGCCTTCTCGATCTCGGTGGCCTGCAGGTGGAAAGCCATATACTGCAGC